GTGTGTGCCCTGCAGCTCAGCACAGGATCAACACGCGTGTGGGGCTTGCGCTTAGATCATTTACTGTAGGGGCTGGTGCCGTGGTGTAGTGGGTGAAACCACGCGTGGACATCAGTTCCTGTCCTGGCTGTCCCCATTCTGGTTCAGTGGAGGATGACCCAAGTCCTTGGGTCCCCACACCCGCGTCGGAAACTTGTCTGAAGCTGCTGACTTTGGTCTGGCTCTCTGACCGTTGTGACCGTGTGGGGAGTGAACCAGCAGGAGCAAGATTTCTGTCATTGCAACTCTTTCAAATAAGTAGTAAAGAAATTTTCTCTTAAGAAGCCAGTTGTTAAGAAAAAAAATGCGAGAAAGAGTCCATTGCTATGGTTAGGGAGGTGGTGATGGGTGCACGGATGCCAGCTGCCCGCGTGTAGGGCAGTGGGGTTCCAGTGAGGCTGGCCCTGGGACGTGCTCACTGCTGCCAGGGGCCTGCAGTGGCTTCACACTCTCCCGGCAGCCCCCCTGGCCAGTCACCACTGAGTCATCGGAGGATCCCGGGTAGCACCCTGCCCCCTCTGGCACTGAACAGTGGGATTCGACCACCTGGCATCAGACCAGCAGCTCGGCTTCTGGGTGTCCCTGCACCCAGCCTGGCTCCCAGGGGAAGGAGGCCTGGCCAGTGGGAGGGGCACGGCACTTGGCTTAGGGGTCAGGGTCAGCTGGGCAGAGTGGCATGTCAGTGGACAGAAGCTGGGGGTGAGGAGTGATGAGGAGTGGGGCTTGGAACAACACAGGAAGCCCAGGTTGTGCCCTAGCAGGACAGTGCAAGGGAGGACTGGGCCAGAACTGCACTGCGAGCTCAGGCCGACACGGGTCAGTGCCGCTGGCTGATGTGTGCAGGCCCATGGCCTGGGCCCTGCGTGGCCACCGCCGAGGAAGAATGGCTGCTTCCCCGGGGCCTGGAGCCCACTGTGGACACAGAGTGCTGGGAACAGCCATCTGGGTTGTCTGCAGGTCAGGGCCTGAGGGCAGGCTGGCCCTGTGCTCCCTGCCACTTACAGCCCTGCATAGCTGTGTGCCTGCACGTGGGGTCACCCTCCTGGGTGTGCAGGGGCTCCCCCGGGGCTGCCAGGCAGAGTCCCCATCCACATTCAGCAAGTGGGAACGCTGCTACCCCACTCCTCCCCCTCCATGTCTGAAACCAGGAGCAGACGGAGCTCAGCCCAGAACGGGGCGGGGGGGGGGGGGGGCTGGCTGAGAACTTGCCAGAACGTCCACACATCCTGCAGGGGTGGGGAGTCCTGTCAGTCCTTCCCTGAGCGGTGTCTTCTCTCAGACCCCATCACCGACCCAGGCTTGAAGGCAGGGGTGGGGCAGGAGGACACGACCCCAGCATCAGGCCACCTCACGCCAACCTGGCCAGCTGCGATTGCCGGGGTGTCCCCACAGGAGGCCCGAAGGGGAGTTTGTCTTTCCTGCATAGCTGCAGCCCTGTGGCCTGACCTTGCCCTTGCTGACCGTGGGTAGTTGTGCTGTGCCTGGCAGGGCACGCTGGAGTCACGGGGGCTTCCACAGCTGCCTCAAGTGTGTTTCCTATGGACCACACACTTGAGCTGGGTCTGGTAGTGAGAGCTGAGCGAGCGTGTGCAGTGCCAGGTCCTGCGCTGACGGTGCCACAGGCCACTCAGCACTGGGGAGGCAGTGGCGCTGCAGGCGTCCCCCTGCTGCTCTGCTGGGGGCGGTGGGCCTGTTGGATGGACATGGAAGGTGGGCAGAAGGGGTGCCTCGCCACTTTCCCAGGGGCCAGTGCCCGTGCCCATGTGACGTGCACACCACAGATACTTCCCAGCCCTGGGATGACGCCCGTGGTCTGGCTTCACCTGCTCCTCAGGATGCAGCGGGTCAGGTGTGTGGCCTGCAGGATGGACCCCAGTGCCCAGATGTGAGCTCACTGCGGTGGCACGGAGGCTGGTTCTGTCCTTCCTTCTGCCCCCACAGGCCCCTTGATGCCGATGTGGGTGAGGAATTGAATGGCCAGGCAGGGCCAGGTGAGACCTGAGTGGCCTGGAGCCCTGAGATGGCCTGGTTTGTGGCTCGGGGGGTGACTGCCCAGGAGGGTCCACAGCACCGCCCTTCAACCGCATGCTGCCCAGGGTTGGGTCCCTGGGGAGTCTTCCCGGTCCACTCCCCTGGGGAAGTAGGTGGGTGTTGGGGAGGGGCAGAGGTGCCTCATGTCTCATTTGGGGGCACAGTGCTGCCTCTGCTTCTGGCTGGCTTGTGGTCCACCCTCCCAGGGCTACTTCAGCAGCCCCCATGCCTCTACAGGCTCCGCTGTGGGTCCCAGGCCCGTGTAGACACAAGCCCTGCACTTCTGGGAGACTCTGCCAGACACCCCTCCTGGCAGCAGCATGGTGTACCAGGTGTGGGTCTGTACTGTGCACCCCCAGTTTGCCCCTAGGAAAGTAGCTGTGGAGCATGGCTGCTCGGCAGCTGGAATCCGCTCCTTCCCAATGCCACCAGAAGCCCAGCCATCCACCTGGAAGGCAGGTGGGCTTATTGCAGTTCAGGCCGGTCCTGCAGCTGAGGCGGAGCTGGCCTCGTCTCGGGGACCCTGGAGAAGCCATGGCAGCAGCACAGGGTGCGTGGGGGCAGAGGAGTCTGGTCCCTGGCTGGGCTTGGTGGGAGGCCCACTGGAGTCATGGTCCCAGAGTGGTACACCCTTGTGGGTGGCTGCTCCTGGCGGCTGCTAGGTTCCTTGGAGCAGGACCCTCCCTGTGCCAGCCTGGGCAGCCCCAGCAGCCTCGCCTGCTCCCAGCACAGTGAACACTGCTTGTCCCCTGGAGCTTAGCAATCACGCGAATGGTCCCCTCAGCCTGGTCAGCAACCCCCTCCCCTAGCTCATTTCACGTCTGCAGCCCTTCAGGGCTGGTCTCGGGGCTCCCTCTGGGCCTTGCAGAGCTTCAAGGGGGACCGGAACCCCAAGGACCTCAGCCAAGCCTGCCGTGGCTTCCAGCCAGCTGCGCCCTGTGCCCACCTGCCACACCTGCAGCCCTAATTCCCAGGCTCGTTCCTCTGCTGTCGTCAGGCCGTCCCCTTGTCCAGCTCCTCCAGGAAGCCTGCTTGGCCTGCCCAGGACCGGCCAGGCTGGGTCACTCCCTGCAAGCCCCGTGCAGTGCCCCAGGCCCAGGAGCGCCAACTGCGAGGCCGCCCCTGCCCTTGCAAGTGTATCAGGCCTCCCAAGCCCAGGGAGTCCTGGGCTGCCCTCCCCTCCCCCTCCCCAGGAGGTCCCTGGAGCCCAAAGCCTGCAGGGCTCCTGCCCAGCTGCCCACAGGCCCCACCCTTCAGACTCAGGGACGCAGCACACAGAACGGTAGTGGCTGGGGGACTCCAAGGGCAGAGTCAAATGAGGGGCAAGGGGCCCTCCGTCAGTGAGGGAGCTGACGGAGCGGCAAGCCCCACGGGGCTCTGACCCTTGGGCGGTCAGTCCTGGGGGGAAGGCGCATAGGTACACGGGAATGCGCAGGAGAGGAGCTGCCAGGCACAGCCTCCTCAGGACTCCTGGGGTCGGAGCCAGCCTGCCGGGGCCTGTGGTGTGTACCCCAGCTCCGGCTGCTGGGCGCTGGGGAAATATCTGGCCGATCGCACGTGGATTTATTCTGAGGCAAGTTATCAATAAAAAATTTAATACTAAAATGCCTTTACATAGTCTGCTGTTCATAAAACCTTTGTGTCTTGTTTTAGTGTTTACAATGAAAAAAAAAATCCAACCGTTCTCTTAGTTTACACATTTACAAGTCGTGCGTTCGCTTGTCCAGCCACGGTTGGGGCCCACAGCAAGGAGGAAACAGGACGGAGACGCAGGCGGGGGTCGGGGTGGCCTCCCTCACGGGGTGTCTCCCCAGGAATGAATATTGCACTCGAGCAGAGGGAGGAAGGGCCCCCCACGCACCCCGCCACTCCCTGGGGCCACGAGGATGGCTCTGGGGGGAGGGCAGGGTGGGCTCCAGGCGGGCTGGGGTGTCCACCTCCACCTGCACGCTCCAGGCTGTCCACGCCCAGCTGGTTCTGCCCCAGGCAGGCGTCCCTGCAGCTTCCAGGGGAGACTTGGGGTTGGGCCGGGGGGCCGAGCTGCAGGGATGAGGTGGAGAGGGCAGTTCTTGGTTCCCGGAGCCCTGCAGGTGGGCAGGGGAGAGGGGTGTCCCTTTTGTCGGCCGCTCCCACCACGGCTGGCCGCTCCTTAGAGGAAGGGGCTTCGCGAGTCTGCTCCACACATGGGGAAGGACAGCAGAGAGGGACAGAGGGGGCAGGAGCCGGCTCCCGTCCCACCGAGAAACTGGCCATGGAACGGAACTTAGAAACACTTGGAATCTTCAGGAAATAGTCAGAGCATCACGTTTTCTTGTCAATACTTCTAAAGTATTTGTTCATTTTTTTTGTCATGTGAAACAGAGGTAAGATCTGAGTGGCTGCTGTCGCATTGAGGTTGGGGTGCTTGGGGGGGCACCCTGCCACTGCTGCTTCTAGAAGCTTCTCTCCTTGGGGCTGTCCTCATTGCCCCTCCACCCCAGTACCTTCCCCAGCCACATCCTGCCCACACTGCTAACCCTGGGGCGGGGGGCTGGGCGGGTGCCGCCCCCCTCAGCTCCGCGGGCACAGATGCCTCCGTGCCGACTGGTCGAGGCTGAGAACAGTGCATTTCCAAAGAAAACCCCAGAACAAACTCCCTACACACGCACACGCACACGCACACACACACACACACATCCTCATCACGAGGGTGAGGGACATCCTGGTCCACTTGTCCATAAACACCCCCACCCCCAAACACCGTGTTTACACAGAGAAATAAATAGACAAGACACCTGATTTCTGCGGTCCCTGGTGGGAGACAGCGGAGGTATAGGGAAATATGGCTTGGATTCGAGTCTCTCGTGAACTGCCAAGGTGGGAAAAGAGGGGGGCGGCTGGGGTGCTCTCCTCCAGGGACAGCCCCCGGGGGCCGGGCTCCTCGGGGGCGCTCAGCAGAGCACTGGCACGCCCTCGGCGGTCACCAGGCGTCCTGTGGTGGGGTCGTAAGTGCCGGCCAGGTAGTAGAGGTCGTGCCGGTCCTGGCCGCGCCGGCCGTCGCTCAGCTGCTGGTACTGCTCGCGGCTCACCACCTGGCACTTGTGGGAGATGGTCTGCACGTCGTTCTCGTCCTCATGGTGGGACTGGTACAGCGCGTTCTGCAGGGTGGGCGGGGACACAGCTGCTCTGCGAGGCCGCCCCGGGCTGGCGACCCCGAGCGCAGGGACAGGGCACCTGGCGGGCCCTCACCTTGCCGTCACTCTGCCGCTTCCCCAGCGAGGTCTCCTCGGGGTGGTAAAACCACCTGACGCGCACCACCATGTTGCTGCCCCACGACTCCCACATGCTCTCGATGCGGCCGACGTAGGGCAGGTTGGGCCTCCCAGCCGACAGGAACACGGCGCAGTCCCCGACACGGAGGGTCTCGCTGCCTCGGACGATGGCCTTGTAGAACAGCTTCCTGGCCTTCCCTTTCACGCCACGCCTCTGCAGGGCACACAGCCAGGGCCAAGGGGTGCTGAGGGCGCGGCAGGTGGGCAGGGGGTGGGTAGGTGGGCAGGGGCTGCTGGGGGGCCAAGACGGGCATGTGGGACACGCTCCACCCACACAGCACAGCTCGTCAGATGCTGAGCCGGAAGCCTTGGCGCCCTGCCCGCCCCCGGCTGCGGGCACAGGGGCACCCGGAGGCCTTCAGTGCTTGTCTTCACTGCACTGTGTACGTGTGAGACGGGGGAGGGGCCCCTACCTGCGTGGGGTTTCCTGACCACTCCCACAGCTGCCGGGCGGGCAGGAAGGCTGCCATCTTTGGCCGGCTCTCGGTGGACGGCAGCCGCTGCCTCCGAGAGAGCTCCTTGGCTTTGGAGAAGCCCAGGGTCTCCTTGCGTTTGAGCTTGTTCCTGCCACTGCTGGGTCCTGTGCCAGCGCCCATGCTGGCCACCGCTGCCCTGGATAGGAAGCAGCGGGGCGCGTGGGTGTGGGGGCCGCCTCCCTTGGAGTGCAGGGCCTCGGGTGGCGCCAGCAGGGCGGGCACCGGCTGGGCCAGGCGGGTCTGCAGCAGCAGGGCCGGGTCCTCGTCGTCCGAGCTGTAGGATGAGTCCTCGTTATCGGAGGAGCAGAGGCTGGACGTGGACACGGAACCCGAGGAGGAGGAGGTGGACGAGGCGGACGAGGAGGAGGAGGTGGGCAGGCGGGTAAGGAAGCGGGGTGGCACGCCGGCCGCCAGTCCCGGACTGTCGTCATCGTCGTCCGAGTAGGAGCTGTGGCAATCGCTGTCACAGGGCAGGGAGAACTCAGCCTGGCCCGTGTACTTGCGCAGTGCCAGCCCCACAGGCAGCGAGTGGACAGGTGCCCGGCCCTTCTTGTCCTTGCCCGCCAGGGCCGGGTGTGCATAGCTGGGGCTGGGCAGAGGCCGTGCCAGCTTGGGGCCAAAGTCTTTGTCACCCACCAGCAGTGCCTTGCAGTTCTTGTTCTTAGGGGAGGTGACACCCTCGTGGTCCAGCTTGACCAGGAACTCGCCGCTCGCCCGCCGCCGCCCGCCAGCCCGCTCAGCCTCCGCCCGCTCTGCCTTTTTGGCCCGCAGCAGCCTGTGGGCTCCCCCGGGCAGCCCGGGGCCTGCCCCACTGCCCAGGAAGGGTGCATAGGAGTTGGCCAGGCTGCTGAAGGAGTCGGCGCGGAAGCCGTTGCCGAAGACCGGCGCGGACACGCTGTGCACCGGGAACAGGGCCTCACGGGCCCGCAGCCTCCTGGCGCTGCCGTTGAGCTGAAAGAGGTTCTGCAGCAGCCCGGGGCCTTTGCCAGCAGCCACCTTCCGCTTGCTCTGTGTCACGGCCGACCAGCTCAGCAGGGGGCTGCAGCGGCGTCCCAGGAAGTGGTCCGAGGCCCCTGGTGGGGCTTTGCCTGTGGGGAGAAAGGAGGTAGGGTAGGGTCAGCTGGGCTCACTCACAGCACCACCCATGCGACCCCCTTGCCGGTCCCGGCAGGTACCAGTCTTGTCCTTGCCAACAGATTTCTTCCCAGGGGTCTTGGACTCGGAGCTGTCCTGCACTTTGGGCGACAGGCTGGGGGTGGGGGCTTCACTGGGCAAGGGGGCCTCGCTGGATGCCTTCTTGGTCCTGCGGCAGTTGGTGGACACCAGCAGGGCTGGAGAGGGTTCCGTGCCTGTGGGTAGAGGGGGCGAGAGGCTCGGGGCCGCGTCCGTGGGGATGGACGGACTGCCGGATGGCCGGTGGAGGGCTATGGGGGCTCACACTGGATCTTGAAGTCGGGGGGCAGCAGCCTGATGTTGGAAACGGCAATGTGGCCCGTGTCACCGTCATCGAACTCCACCACCACCGAGTCCGGGTCCTCCTCCTCGTCGCTCGAGGCTCCTGCACAGAGATGGCCAGATGGGCCCTGAGGCTCGCGTGGCCCGGGGTGTCATGACTGAACGTCAGGGCCACCGCAGGCCAGGCCGCCCTAGCACACCGGCACAGGTACACACACAGGCGGCCCCAGCCTCGGGGTGGGAGCCTGGACCAGGGCAGCTGGCTCCCGTGTGCTGGATGCCCTGACACAGCGGGCCCCCAGGGAAGCTGGTTCTGTGCCCAGCTCAGGAGGGAGGACTGAGGCTCACCTCGGATCACGTTGCCAGGGTACAGGCACCGAGACTTCTGGCTCCAGTAGGCACAGACCCGGGTGCCAGGCGGGAGGTAGCGGCTGGACTGTGGTCGGACGTCGAGCACCTAGAGGGAAGGCACGTGTGGCTGCCATGGGCGGGCAGGCCTTGATTTCAGCCCTCTCTAGCCGGCCGGCCAGGAACCGCCCTTACCGCCTCCTGCAGCAGCTGCTCCAGCGAGTAAATGCGCTGGCGGTTGCCTCTCTCGCCCTCAATGACGATGCTGTAGCTGGAGGAGCGGGCAACGTGAGAGTGGGGGACGCGTGTGAGGGCAGGGGAGGGGCGCGGGGCACGCGTGCGGCCTCACATGTCTGGTGGGTGCAGCGTCCTCACGCTGCCCGCGTACAGCAGGCTGTCCTCCTTGGGGATGAGCACCGGGAGCCCATCCTGCAGATCCTCCTTGTGGATGGTGCAGGAGCGCGCTGGGGTAAACCACCAGGAGTCAGTGCATCTTCCCCACCCCCAAGAGCCCCAGCCCCACCACAGGCCCCGCCCAGGCCCACAAGGCCCCGCCCCCACAGGCCCCGCCCCGCAGGCCCCGCCCCCGCAGGCCCCGCCCCACAGCCTTCCTGCCACTCACCCAGGGTTGCACTCTGCTCCACACTCAGAGCCCCCCTGGCCGACCCTGCTCCTTCTTCCTCTTCCTCTTCGTCCTCATCCTCAAAGCTGCTGTTGTCATCCATCTCCAACTCACCCTGGCTAGCAAAGCTCTCCAGCAGCCGGTTCACCGCGCAGCCCTGGCCCTGGTGGGGGATGCGGGGCTCAGGCAGGGGGAAAGGAATGTGGGCCTGGCCAGGTGCCCTTGGAGGGAGCAGGGCTACCTGCTTGCCGGTGGTCTTCACCTTGCCTGGTTTCCTGCCCTTCCCCAGGACGGCCTTGGCGTTGCGGGCTGACAGGGTGATGGACAGTGCTCCTTTCTTCCGCTGAGGGAGGTAGGGAGGGGGCTGAGTCTCTCGGTCCCCACCCGTCTGGGCCCGCCCGTGTCTGAGGGGTGGGGCTGAGGGGGGCCTCACCCGCAGGGCGGCTGGCAGCACTGCACTCTTGCGTGTTGCCCTCTTGAGGCGCTCGCTGGCCAGCTTGTTGCCCTCGGCGCGGCAGGGGAAGGCCCGTGCGGGTCCAAACAGCACATCCCTGCCAGGGGTGGCCCCTGGCTCCGCCCGCAGGCTGGCTCTGGCCTTGTTCTTAGCTCTCTTCTTGCCGGAGGCACCTGAGAGCCTCCGGCCTGCCGCCCGCTCCAGCTTGGCACCCACCTTGACTTTGCTGGTCCTTCTCTTGATCTTGACCTCACCCTCAGGGCTGGATAGGTGGCAGGGCCCTGGCAGGGAGGAGAGGCCATCACGGGGTTCCCCTGTGGCCTCTGGGGGGAGGGGTGCAGTCACGGGGTCCCACTGGTGGCCTCTGGGGGGAGGGGTGCCATTACGGGGTCCCACAGGTGGCCTCTGCGGGGAGGGGTGCAGTCACGGGGTTCCCCTGTGGCCTCTGGGGGTAGGGGTGCAGTCACGGGGTTCCCCTGTGGCCTCTGGAGGGAGGGGTGCCGTCACGGGGTCCCACAGGTGGCCTCTGGGGAGATGGGTGCAGTCACGGGGTCCCACTGTGGTGGCCACTACCAAGCAGCTGTGTGAGGTGCAGTGGGTGAGTACCTAGCAGGCCCTGTCTCTCCTTCTTTTTCTTGGCCTTCTGGTTGGCTTCCATCTTGACCACAGAGGAGGGGGACGGCCCCAGGACCGCCACGCTGGCCCCTGCGTGCAGCAGCATCCCAGGCTCAGGCACAGTGGCTCGGTCATCCTCGCTGTCGTAGCCGCTGCCTGTGGGGGTCAGGGTACCCAGAGAATGCCCACAGTGGCCCTCTGGGGAGGGGCTGGGCCCCCAGGCTCTGCTTCCAACTTCCCTGGGGCTTCTTGTGGAAGGGCTGGGCCAGGGAGGGGGCTTTCACGTTAACCGGTGACGACCTGATGACCGCGGGGGTCTACCTGCCCCTCCCCCAGCTGCAGCTCCCCTTGCACTTGCCTGCCTCTGGCTGGGCTGGAAACTTGGGCACGTCTCCGCCGGGCTGTGGGTGCCGGGAGGCTCCGGGCGCCGTGGCCTTCTTAGCTCGGGAGAGCTTTGTGCGGATGCGCCTCCCTGGGGTGGCCTCCTTTCGTGGGAAGGGACCCAGCCCGGCAGGCAGTCCCTGGCTTCTGACCTTCGGCCTCAGCTGGGACACCTGGTGGGCCACCGCCGAGGCCAGCTCCCCCTGGCCGCTGTGCTTCCTGCACCGCACCTTGTCCTGCAAGCAAGGCAGTGGCTTTGCGACAGAGCCCCTCGGGTCTGAGTCGCACTGCCCATGTCACCCGAGGAAGTGGCACCTCTGAAGGGGCTGGCAGGGTGTCCACCTAGGGGACTGATGTGGTGTACCACCACCGTGGATGTGGTGTGGGTCAGCTTCAGGAGGGCTACAGGTGCTGGCCCCACAAGGATGAGCCCCCCGGACATTGGGGAGGAGCGCCATGGAGCCTGCCTGCTGGCCGGTGCTGGCAGGGCTCACTCTGTGTGCACCCGGGACTCACCGCAGCCTGCAAGCCGGTGTACATGCTCTTCTCCAGTCTGCTCCGTTTCTTGGGGGGCTCTCCTGCACCTCGCAGTTCGGCACACAGCAGGCTCAGGCTGGCCCGCACCGCCCTGGGACACAGGGCAGACCTCCTGTCCGTGAGAGCCCCCACCCCAGGGCCCTGCCCCGTCCTCCAGGCTGGGAGCTGGGTGAGCATCAGGCCTGCCTGTAGCCCCTCAGGCACTCCCAGATCCTGCTGACCCCTACTCGGCTCCCCCAGCACCCCAAGCCAACAACATCACTTCCTGTGGCTTCTCAGACCCCGCCCCCTACCGGCAACATTTTGTGTCAGAGAGAGAATTACCCTGGCCTGACCTTGGCCTTTGGGCCACGTCCCTTTTTATCTTCCTGTCCAGAGAGGCACCCAGACCTCAGCGGCCAGGCAGGAAGCCACCACGGGTCCTGCCAGCACACACACCTGCCCCCCATTTCCCACGGCAGCAGGTCCACGGGCACCCAGCCTGCCCAGAAATGGGAAGGGCAAGGCCAGGGGCCTGCTCTAGGTTCTGGTTCTGTTCCCAGGTTTTAAAGCTGCCACTGGCGAGCAGGCCCTGGCCTCCAGTCCGAGTGCCAAGGGGCTGAGATGCAGACGTGGGCTGGGCTTCCTGGCAGGGGTATGCTCAACAGAACGTGGGCTGACTCTGCTGGTCTCCCTGGCCTTTCCACTCCTGGGCAGCACTCACAGGGTCCCCTTCGGGCAGGACAGACGGGTAGTCGGGAAGGCCCCGCCACACCGTGCATGCCCCTCCCCGTCACCTTCCCCGCATTCGCTAACGTCTTGTGGCATAAAGCCCTGAGATTAATTTTTGCCTCTGTGTTAATTGAAGGAACCGTTTAGTGCCGATTTAACTATTATTACCAAATCATCAGGATGGATGCAGGGCGCCGGGCGTGCGCCAATCGTGTTTGGAGGCGCTCGGAGGATTTACGCAAATGGGCCTGCCGGGAGAGGCAATTTGTAGCCGAGAAGGACAATTATGCCCAGCCCAGGAGTGCGCCGGGCGGGAACGATGCTCACAGCGGCCGGGCGTGACCAGCAGCTCCACCCCCCTCCTCTGGGGCCCTGCCACTGCCAGGAGACGGCCTAGGAGGGGACTAAGGACGGTACACCACTCCCTGCTGATGACACGTGCCACCTCCCACCAGTGCCTAGACTCACTTGACTTTCTTGCTGTCACCCCTGGCCAGCTGGCCCCCAGGACGCAGAGCGGGCAGTGAGCTGGAGTGTCTGCGCTTCCTGGGCCGGCCAGGCCCCCGTCGTGCAGGGCTCCGGGAGCTCTCATCCCTCCTGGGGACAGGAAGGATGTCAGAGCTCCTGCGGCTGGAACACGGGCAACTAGGCGCCCGTCCATCACAGGGCCCTTCTGGGGGCTGGGAAGGGAGCCAGGCAGGTGGCTGCCCCCACATGGAGCTCCTACCGCCTCAACTGTAGCCCAGGGTCTCCTCTTCCCAGCCCCCCCACCTGGGGCTCCACCAGGCTACCCGCCTGCGTACTCATGGTCGTGCCTGCGCTGCAGCCGCGCCAGCTCCCGCTGCTTCTCCTTGTAGCGCCGCTGCAGCTCGGCCAGCCGCACGCGCAGCTCCACCTCCTGGGTGTCTAGCTGCTCAATAGCGACCTTCAGGGGACACACCTGAGGGCGGGGGGCACAGGTGCTGAGGATGGAGCCAGAGGCCTCCCTCACCTATGCCGCCCCCGAGCCCTCGGTCCCCCACTCACAGGCTTGGGCTTGGGGGTCCAGGTGTCCTTGCGTCGCAGGATCTGCATGCGAGCGGTCAGCCTGGGGCTGCTCCTGGGGTCAGTGGCTGGAGGCGGGGCTGAGGCGGCCAGGCTGTCCAGGTCAGCGGCCTCCACCAGAGACCAGGCTGTGGCCAGTGTGGCCAGGTGTCGGAGGTTGAAGGTCAGCACGTCTTCTGCGGCTGAGGGGACAGAAGGGGCAGCATGGGTGGCAGTGACTCCCACAAGGGGCTCCTGGCACCGGGTTCCACCCCAGCAGCTGCCCAGGACCACAGGAACCAGCAAGGGCTGGTGTCCAGCAGCCTGCTCAGCTTCAGCCAGGGAGAAGGGGTCACCCAACAAGTACAGGATGACAGGGCTCCTCACAGCCCTATAGCCACCACCTGTGGCTGGGGACATGGGCAGTGCCACAGACCACCACCCTGGAAGAGGGACACTGAAGCCCTGGCCATGAGACTGAGTGTGTCCTGTCCCAAGACCCTGCTGGCCTGGGCTGGACACAGTGCCCATAGGGACCACCCATGTGGAGGGGTCCGTTCCACCAGACATGGGTTCCAGCCAGCAGGGGGCCTAGGGGTGGTGAGCAGAATGGAGGCCACAGTGTCTGGGGCAGCAACGGGGGCTGACCAGAGCCTGGAGGATGGTGAGACCAAGCCAAAAGTCCACAGGAGCTGGCTGCAGGGCTCCCCCAGGCCCAGTCTGGGGTCCAGGGGACAGAAGAAACGGACAGGAAGGGGCAGCATTCCAGGGGCCACGTGCTGCGAGCATGGAGTTCCTGTCTTGACCGGGCCCAACGCTGTCCCTCTGGGAGGGTGTAGGGTGCTCCTGGGGCTCCTGGTTCTATAGGCCACAGCAAGCCCAGATCCAGGGCCTGCTTAGCAGATGGCTGGCCCTCATGCCGAGCAATATTATGGGGGGGGGGTGCCACCAGGTGTTCAGAGTCCTGTGGACTCAGGCTTAAGCCAAGGTCCAGCTGTCCCCAGCCCAGGACTCTGCCCCACGGGCGCCTTCTGCGAACCCTGCTCCCCTTCTGCTTGCCTCTGACCCACTGTACTACTGGGAGAAGCTGCGCGTGCCTGACAGCGCTGGGGGAGGGCAGGCTTGGAGCTGGTCTCATGCTGGAGACAGCAGGGTGGGTCCTCCACCCTAGACCCGTGGTCTACACATGTCCAGGTGCCACACACACCCATGTCACACGCCTCAGAGTGGCCGTGGCCTTCCAGTGGTCGGTGCCTAGACCAGGTGTCCCTGTGGTCTGGCTGGGTGCCCACTGTGGCAGGGCCTCTCAGGGAGCAGCTCTGCTGGCCATCTCGCCCCGCAGGTCCCAGCAGGAGCCTTGGTAAGCCCGCTCTGCAGTGAGAGTGGCAGATGTGCACATGCAGCCCGGAGGACGGTGGGGGGGACACGGCACCCCGCTGGAATGCTGCCCACAGCGGCCCCAGACAGGATGGCTGCTTCCCCGGGTGGCGAGCAGCTTGCAGTGGAGCTGGAGCCATGCGAAGAGCAGGGCTGGACCACAGTCTGGCCTCCTCCCCTGGGGCCTGGCCAAGCTTTGGCAGGCAGGGCTCCGTCTTCCTGCCCCGGCCTTCTAAGATCTTCCAGACATCGCATGGGGGGTGGGGACCGCGACCACCTATCGGACTGTTGTCCTGGACCCCACTGCCCAAGCCGAGGCTCCAGGCATGGCGGACACATTTCAGGGACCACCAGCTGGCGCCTACAGCCCCTACAGCTCACCTTGCACAGCCTGCTCACTCTGCTGCCGCTGGGTCTCCAGCTCTGCCAGCTCGCTGAGCAGGGCAATGCCGGGCATCCCTGAGCCACGGGGCTGAGTGACTGACAGGTCCACGCTGGGCAGGTCCCCCAGGTTGATGGTGGCAGCCACCAGGGCGTCCAGGCCGGGAAGTGCCCTGGGTGAGTGGCTGCTATCAGGAGGTGTCCTCCAGTCCTCCTCCGAGTCCTCCATGCTTCCTTCCTCCAGCTCAGTCTCCTCAGGGGCTGGGGGTGCCCCCTCATCTTCCAGGGGGCTCGGGCTGACCGCCTGTGATTCCGGGGCGTGGGCATCAGGCGCAGGTCCCCGTGGGCCTTCCTCCCACACCTGCTCCACAGGCTGATCCTCCCGTGCCTCTCCCTGAGTAGAAAGGACCTGGCCAGCAGCCTCTGGGCCTCCTCCTTTGAGGAGGGCTCCGCCCTGCAGTTCTGGCAGCCCCTTGAGTGGGCTGGGGTCTGCTGCCTTCCCCGGGGTGCCCCGCTCGGCGGGACAGGGGGTGGTGAGGTCCTGGGTGGTCTCCTTGGCCCCCGAGCACAGTCCAGGTTCCTCCAGGCTCCTGGGACAGCAGGAAGCCAGTGGTGGTGGCTCGGGTGGGGCCCGAGTTTGCATAGTTTTGGGGTCTGCGAGGTCAGAAGCGAGCGTGTCTGTGGGCAGGGTGGCAAAGCCTGTGCTGGTTGGAGGGTGCACACATCCAGGAGGCAGGTCTGTAAAGGAAGAGGCGGTCAGGGGGCAGCTGGGCAGTGAGTCAAAAGGAAGGGGCCCCCACCTAATCCAGCCCAGGACAAGGGGGTCCCAGGGTCAGTGGCTGAGCAGGGACCTCAGGCTGCACTGTCACAGCCAGCCCCCAACAAAACAGCCTGATGATTCAGTCCTGCTGGCCTGGGGCTGGGTTTGTATTCACCCCACCCGCGGGCAGGCAGCCTGATGTGTAACACAAGTGGACTGTGGGGCCAACCGGTGGGCGGGGGCTGGAGAAGACCCCTCCCCCCCGTGGGCTGTCCCTCTGGGCCTGGCCACACTGAGTCCAGCTGTCAGCCAGCCTTTGCCACGGGCAGGATCAGGACCTTACCACCCCCTGTCCCACCAAGCAGGGGCCCCTGGGAATGCAGGTGGGACAGGAAGCCTGCCCCAGGATCCTTGCCACAGGGACGGGGGGAGGAAAGTCCTTCCTCACCCAACTCCATGCCACGGTTACCTGGCTCCAAAGTGGTGAGGTCCATCCCAGGCTGCTGACTGCTGCTACTCCTATCCTTGGCACCAGGCACCTGGGAGCTGGGCCCAGGGCTGCCGGCCGGGCAGACAGATAAAGTGCACGGGGCAGCAGGTCGTGGGGGTGGGGTGGGGCAGCCAGCAGGGGGCTTCATGGTGGGCGAGTGGCAGCAGGGCGACAACTTGACCGGGCCTGCGGAGGTGGCGGGCGAGGAGGCGCCCTTGGCCGCGGGGGTTAAGGCAACTGGCTTGTGGGTGGACGTGAGGGCCTTCTCTGGGGGCGGCCCCTCAGGCTCCGGGTGCTGCTGATCTTCTGGCTTGCGCTGTCAGGCCAGAGCAGAGTTAGCCGGCTCCGCCCACCCTGTGCCCTGTGCCCTGTGGCAGGAGGCAGGCAGGGATCTCGGCTGGGCATGCCCACAGGGGCAGTACCTGGAATTGCGAGGCCCGCGGCAGCTCCAGTGCCTGTGCCGCCCTCTGCTGCCGCAGCAGCTGGGACCTCGAGTAGACGGGCAGCTGGCCTGGCGGCTGCATGTGCGATGTGGGGCCACGGCCCCCGTACATGGGGGGCCACAACGAGGCCTGGTCCATGACGTCGGCTGTGGGATTGCGGGAGCAGACGAGCCGTCAGCCCTCCTGGCTCCAAGCGGCTGTCTGCCCCTCCCTCCCCACCCCACTTGCAGGCCCTCACCAAGTGTGTGAGGCGCGGTGTGGGGCGTGGGCTCGGAGGGTAGGAGGACCAGCTGTGCGGCGGTGTCCTGGGAAAGGGGGAACACAGAGGGCATCGAGCCGGGCACGGAGGCAGGAAAGCCAGGTGGCAGGTTCTGATGCAGGGCAGGGTGCCCCAGGCCTGAGGAGCACACAGCACAGTGGCAAGTTGGCAGGGGGCAGGGCCCAGGGCACTTTGGGGCACCTGCTCCCAGGGACTCAACACTGACCGTAGGAGTGTCCTCCCATCCACAGGGAGGGACTGCGGGTACGGGGCAGCCAGGGTGGGTGTGCAGGGTGGGGGTGGGGGGCTGGGTCCCCACTCAGCTGGCCGCTTTGCATCAGGAGGTGTGGGGCCAGGTCCCCGGGGCAGCTGCTGGAGGGGTGGATCCGGGCGAATTCCACGAGGTCTTTGCTGTCCCTGCAAGAATCAGGGGTCTCAACCCTGCCCGCTTAGAGACTGCACCGCCAGGGCCCCGTCCACCCTTTTCCTCAGCCCTTACTGCAGTAGTTCACGGCTGGCCAGCCCCAGGCGGTCATCACTCAGCCGTGCTCTCTCCTCCTCGGCTTCCAGGTCTAGCGTGTGTGTTGTACGGGGTCCACCACCGGCTGCAGGGGGCGAGAGGACCAGCAGTGACCCCACCTGGGCAGCTGCTGCCCCAAGGGAGGGTCTCCCTCCCAGTCCCAGGCACCTGTGGGGTCGGCAAGGGCAGGGACCATACCTTTGAAGCCAGGAGCAGCCCGGCCTTGCCTCCCAGCGTTGGTGCTGTAGGCTGACTCGGATCGGCCAGCTGTGTCCTTCTGCCGGGCCAGGGCCACAGCAATGCCCACCGGGGGCTGCCGCACCTCCCCGTCGCCATGCGTGGTGTCGTGCTCCCGGCTGCGGGCACAGTCGGGCCTGTCGGCCGGGCCAGAGCCTTTGGAGGCTGGGAACTTGGCCTCCTGCTGGACACAGCTGGCCTTGAGGGCCCCCAGGCCTACGAAGGGAGCCTTCTGGCCCACGGCTAGGGCCTGGCTGCTATACTGGAGCAGGTTCTTCATGGCTGAGACCTCGTCTGCGGGGGCGGGCAACTCCTGGGGCAGGAGGGCAGCCTGTTGCAGGCCACTGCCGAAGGGGTCCAGGTAGGCTCCACCCTTGCGCTCCTCGCCGACCGCCACAGCAGGGCCCTGAGCGGCCTGCACGCCCCATGGGGGCAGGTGGGGGCCGCCGTAGCCCAGCGAAGCCAGCTCCAGGGACCTGCGCTTGGCCTCACAGCCAGCAGCCGTCGGCTCTACCTCGGGGGCTCCCAAGTGCTGCTGGTGCCGGATCCGGGCTACCTTCTGGACCCCGGCAGGGGCCTCCTTGGCTACCTTGTCTAAAGTGCAGCAGGCCTGGGCAGCCTTCCCGCCCAGCGGGTCCTGGTGACTGGACCTGGCGCAGTCCTGCGAGGGGGCGGGCCACTCGAAGTAGCCGCTCTTGTCCTGCCCACCCTTAGGGAGCCCAGGAAAGGCCGCCTCGGGGACCCCTGCGCCAAGGTACTCCAGACCCTTTAGCCGCGGGTTGAGGGTGGTCTCGAATCCCCCAGGCCGCCTTTCCCCCTTGCCCTCGGCCTTCAGGTGGGCGTAGGAGACCCCGTATGTTGTGGTGTGGTCAGGGGCCATCGTGCCCTCCAGGCGCCGGTCCTTGCCCTCGCCGGCCATGGCACAGGCCTCAGCAGCTTGGAAGGGGCGGCTCTTGTCAGTCAGATGTCCTACGGAAGGCACGAAGGTGGGCCCACTGGCCTTCAGGTCCCGGGAGGCCTTGTCCTGCAGAGGGCAGAGCCCGTCTGGGCCAGCGTGCAACTGGAGGCAGGGGAAAGAACCCGCAGCAGCCGTGCTGAGGGGAGGTGCTGGCCCGGTGGGCAGGCCAGAGGGCACCGTGTAGGACACAGCATGGTGTAGCATCTGCCGGCGCTCCAGGCACTCGCTGAAGGCGGGCCCTGGCTCGGTGGGACCCGCCAGCGCTGCCTCCTTGGCACAGCGTCCTGAAGGCGCAGCGCCTGCGCCTGGCCGTCCCAGCACAGCCCCTGCTGCGCAGTTGAGCAGCGCGGCCGTGCTTCCCTCGCCGTTGAGCACCTTGGCTTTCAGCAGGCAGGAGGCGAGGTGCTTGGGGCGGCCCTCACAGGCCCCACGGGGCATCGTGCTGCCCTCCTTGCAGTGCCCGTCGGCTGGCACGGGCAACACCAGCTTGTGCCGCTCCTTGCCGCCGTCCTCGTCCTTGCTCTCCGCTGCCTGGCTGGCCTTGTCTTTGCCGACGAGGAAGCGGTCGAACTCCTTGGGGGCCTTCGGCAGAGAGCCGGTCTCGCCCCGGTCCCGGCTGCAGGAGCCAACGTGATGGGCGGTGGGCGCAGCCCGGGCCATGCCAGGAAAGCTGTGGTTGGCAGGCAGGAGCGTGGGCTGGGGGGGCAGGTTGCGCAGGTAGAAGTTATCTGTGTGCCAAAGAGCAGAGGTGAACAGCAGTCTGGGAGGGGGTGCCCACTCGTCTCCCCTAACCTGAGGGCCATCACGCAGGGAGCTGTTGCATCCACTCCAAGAACAAACCAAAAACACCATTAAGGCACATGGTGCAGAGAAAGTGGGGTGCCTGATATCCTGCCTTCTGCCCTGGCCCAGTGTCCAGTGCCCATGAGGGTCCCAACAGGTGGGTGGAGTTTCAGGGTCATGGCAGACCTTAGGGGTGCTCCTGCACTTCCTGATATGCCCCCCCCCGCCCCCAGAGAGCGTGGCGCACTGGGGAAGCCTCAGACAACAGCCTGACAGCCCCGGGGACAGTGCCAAACAGGGAGGGGAGTGGTGCCTGGCACGCAGCAGCCAGCCCTCTACCCAGCTCCCGGGCTGCCCCTGTGGGGTGTGGGGGCAGGCGCTGAGTGTCGGGGCCAAACTCTTCTTCCATCTGCGGCTCACTCTGTCCCAGGCCCCAGCCAGCCCGGGCAGGGACACCCTGGCCCCCAGGCAAGGGGCTCCCCGCCTCTCCCGCCCCAGCTGGGTGGGCAGCCAGGGCTGGGGTGGGGTGGGCATAGAAGAAACATTTGGAACTTGTAAAACTGTCCTCAGTCATGTAAATTCCTCGTCAATTTCCTGCTAATTAGGAACAAGGGGAAGGGGTAGCCCAGGAGAAACCTAATTAGTTCAATTTCCAAAACCAAATAATGTTCTTGGACAAGGCTGCACCACAATATTGTGAAAGGCGAGAGGCTGGCCAGCACTGCCTCGAGGGAGCCCCAGGCCCAGCTTTGGAGAGTCGGGTTTCTGGGGCCTGGACCAGCCAGCCACCTGTCCCCCCCCACAACCAGGGTGCCCTGGCCCCCAACCCCTGGGCCAGCACACAGCCACAGTCCTCAAGGGACCCCTGCCCCAGGGGCTGGGCCAGCACACAGCCAAGGTCCTCTAGGGACCCCCCCCAGGGGCAGGGCCAGCACACAGCCACGGTCCTCAAGGGACCCCCCAGGGGCAGGGCAAGGACATAGGCTGGCTGCACACCCAGTAGGCAGAAGAGCAGAGGACAGACGGAGCCCTGGCCGCAGACTCAAAGTTCCTCCCCTGATTGGAGCTCACGGGGTCACCATGACCACACAAGGGCTTGCACATAGTGGAGGACCCTGCCATGACTCCCAGGGACCCCGCTTTGTGAGAGAACTGGGGAAGGGGGGACAAGGGAGGGCTACCATGCCTCCCTTACCACACACACCGGATGCCTTCACAGGGTGGCAAATGTAACCACCTACACTAGACATGCCGGGGAACCCCTGGGCACCCCCCACCTCTCTGCAGGAAGCCCATCCCTCCTGAGGTGCTTCCCACCCCACGGCCCAGCCAAGGGGCCACCTGAGACCCTCTGTCCCCTCTTGCCCCCAACCTGTACCCCCTGACCACTGATTCTGGGGGGACCCAGGAGTGCTCCCTAAAAAGCAGAGAAGAAAGCAGCTCGATCAGAGGCAGGATTTAAGGTCCTGGAGCCACAGTTCCTGACTCCACCTGCCAGTCAGCACCCCTTCTCTAGGGACATCCAGCCCGCGGCCCTCCCCAGTGGCAGCCACGGGCACCGTGAGTTCACACAGCCCAGGTCCAGCAGGTGCAGTGTCTCCTGGGCCTTCCCCCCCACACCCAGGATGCCGGGGGCACAGGTGCAGCCCCCACAGGTGCCCCTGACTTGACTGTTCTGCCTGGCAGGGTCTCCAGGGGCACGTCTACCTGTGCAGACCCCGCCCCCATGGTGCCCACGTGGCACTTGCCTTTTTGGGTTCCATAGAAACGGTGCTGCCCATAGAGAACGTTGCTGTTTCCATGGTGATCCAAGTGGCTCACGGGCAGGAAGGAAGACGCCAGACTCCCCGAGAACCTGGGGTACCCTGGGGCTAGAGAAGCAGGGAGCCAGCTGCAGAGACCAGCATCCCCACCGCCCGGGCCTCCCCGCCGCCCGGGCCTCCCCGCCGCCCGGGCCTCCCCAGCCCGCCGGGCACTTGGCACTGTAGGAGACCGAGCCTGCCAACACATCACGTGGCTCATGGGCAAGGTACATCCAGACAGGACCACAAAGGGGTCCCGAGTGTCTGGGAGGGTCCATGGAATGGACACCCTGCCCAGCTCCAGGCCTTCCTGCACCATCTGGCAGGTCCCTGGCTGTGCTGAGCTCACCAGAAAGCCTGTACCTGACTGGGCCTTCCCCCAGGCCAAGGGAGTGGCCCTCTCCACCACATCATCACGGTCCCTCCCACAGGCCCCCAGCCAGCCCCACTGCTCCCCTCACGGGGCCCCGGAACGAGGGGCCTGGCTGGACTCCGATGCTGTCCGTCCAACAGGGGCGGGGGCTCCCGAGATGGGGCCAGTGCAGTACGGAACCCAGGCTGGGCTGGCAGGGCAGTGTGCATGGGGCCACGGGCCCAGCTGGAGTGCCTCAAGGGTCAGGGCCTCGCGCCAAGGACAGAGGCTCAAAGGGAGCCCTGAGGGACACTTGGGGCATCAACTCTAGGACTCAGAAGTTGCTGGCCTGCCCCGGAAGTTCCTGGACACGGCCCAGCTTCACAGGCCACCTGCAGGGCGTGTCTTATCACAGGACAAATGGTACAACCCACTTCTTCACGCAGGACCCCTGGTGCCCTGCTCAAGGTGCAGCCAAGGCCTCCACAGAAAACAGCCCACTGGTGGCCAAGTCGGGATGGGGCACCAGTGAATGACGGGCCGGAGCAGGGCCAAGCTGGACCCCTGGTCCAGAATGTCCCAGAGACTCTAGGTGCTCCTCGAGAAGCTGGCCCTGGGCCACATGGAGAACAAGGATGAGAGCGAGAGATCCAGGCCAGACCCAGCTCAGATCCCAGGCCTCAGGAAGAGGTCTCCCCTGGGGGATGTGCCCCAGCTCCTGGGGAGCTGCCCCAAGGCGGGGGACACCACTGCAGTTGCTAGGGTCACAGACTGCTCTTTGTCAGCCCAGGGCCTCGAGGGAAGCTGGGCACCAGTTCTTGCCTGCCCAACACCCCAGGCAAGTGAAGGGAGGAATGGGTGGAAGGCTGGAGGCTCAAGCCTGGGCCTTGGGCTCCTGTAGCCAGTGGACTCCAGACCTGGACTGGGGAAAAGGGTGGGACCACAGGCCCCTGGAAACTGCCCAAGCTCTGGGGGTGTGGCGTGTGATCAGCATGGCGTGCCCAGCGTCTGCTGGCCATGCGCAGGATGGTCCAGGGTGAGGGTGGGAGCAGAGTGGACTCAAGAGGAGCCAACAGGCCACAGAGTGGGCAGCCTCATGCTGGGACAGGCATTCAAGAGACCCTGAGGAGGACTCCCCAGGACGCCCTGTGCCGGAGCCCAGCGTGCAAGTGGCAGTATCCACCACCCTTCCCTGCTCCTAGCACCCAGCCTTCAGCAGCCCTATGAACTCGTTGGAATCCCAGCTAACAGTCTGGGAGAGCAGTGCAGGCTGACTCAACTGCATGGAGTCCTGCACCCACGTGTGAGACTTGAGTGGGGCTCCTGGCCCTGGCCACGGCAGCCATCAGGGGAACAAACCAGCACATGGAAGACTCTGTCTCTCCCTCCAGTTCTTACCAATAAATAGATCTTACAAAGTGCTGCTCTGAGGACTGGCCACCTGTGCTCCGGCCAGGGGGTCCCCAAGGCCTTAGGTCACCCCACAGGCTTGCAGTGCGCTTGTCCACAGCTCATCCCAAGCCACCCCAGCCACAGGGCCAGGCAGGCTCCCCCAGCTACCTCTGGAAGCAAAGCAGTAAACCGCCCAGGAAGCAGGCAGGCCCTGGACAGTCCCCCACAGCCCGGAAAGGGCTTGGTCGAGGCCAGGAGGGAGGGGCTTACTGCCCACTGCAAGGCTCCAGACATGGAAAGCAACAAAACCCAGAACCTGGCACTGCCAGGAGTGACCAAACTGTGACCCTAACACCCTGCACGGTGTGGGGCTTGATGCCAGGGGCCCACACCCCCAGTAGCACGGGTCAGGTACACAGGACAGGCAGCCGTGCCCCGCCTCTGGTCAGCTCCGTCCTCCCAGGAGTGAGGCCAGCAGCTGTCGGAGAGGACAGAGGCCACGGGAACACGGAGGGAAGGGCAGCTTCACCAGGGCCAGAGGCACCTGACACGATTCACCCTGAATCCAAGTGGTGTAGCCTGTGGGTGGGGAGGAGTGAGGCTCTTAGCCCTGGGTGCCTGGCCACCAAGGCCCGGGCCATTGGCGTCCTGTCTACAGCCCCCGGGGTCCCCACTGGCCAGGGCTCAGGCCCTGCCACCTGCATCTCTAGGGGCGTTGACCCCTCGGCGGTTAGGATGGAACCCCACCCTGAGCCGCTGCCACCACGGTGAGTGCTGAAGGGGGAGGGCCTATCCTGCTCCCGCTGGCTCCAAGGGGCAGACAGAAGGGACCAAGGGGTCACTCAGGACTCTTGCCAGCAGCCCCTGTCCCGCTGGAAGATGGCCAGGCCCTGAGGCGGGTGTGGCTGTAACAAGGGCAGGCGGTGTGACAGCCAGCACTGGCATGTGCACCCACAGTCACCCACGGCTCCCCCAGGTGGCAAAGGAGACCACGAGGAGGAGGAGGAAGAGCCCCAGCTGTGGGCCCAGCAACGCCTGCCCTCCCCAGCCCCCCAGGAACAGAATTCCCTTTCAGCATCCCTGTGGGTGGTCTCAGCCAGGCCCAGACCTTGGGGCGGGAGGTGGAGGGGCCCACACCCAGTCCTGACCCCACCCAAGCTGGCCGGACAGTGGGTCACCCCGCCCACTCCACATCGTGTGTGAGCTGGGCAGCCAGACAGGCCCCGCCCCAGGACAGATGTTCCTGGCAGCTTGGCACCCCTCCCTGAACCCTCAGCTGCTGCGGGCAGCTTCCTGGAGGCTACCCTGCACATGGCGAGGGGGTTCTTCGACTGGCCGGGAGGCCCTGCCTGGGCCGGGGTCACTGGGCCTACCCCCGCCAACCAGGGCCCCTGCTCTTGCCCCAAATTTGGGAGGAAGGCAAGCTGGCCTCCTTGGACACCTGCCTTCCTGCGGGCTGTGCGTGGGTGGAGGTGGAGCGGCAGTGGTGGAAGGAAGCTGGGCCAAGAGGGGCCAGGCCTGGGAGGGGGCCGCCCAGGCAGCCCACCATGCCTGCAGCTTCCTCTCAGGCCATGTCGCGTGCCCCCACCCCACCCCACCCTTCCCCCTGCACACACACACAGCCCAGAAGCGGGCGCTGGCACGCGGGAGCCAGCTGGCATCCAGTCAAACTAGCAGCCAGGCACAGTGCCAGGGCAGCCTGCCAGCCTGCCACTTGCGCCGCCCGCCCCCCACCACTGGCCGCACCGCCCGGCTGCACCACGTGGCTGCAGACAGCAGAGGGCGGGGCTGGGGGAGCCCCGCGGAGGGGATCCCAGGCCCAGCAGCCCCACTGGCAGTGGGGGAGGTAAACCAAGACAACTACAAAGTGGACTGAGGGTGAGCGTGCCTGGTTGCCAAGGTTGTGACACCGTCAGGTGGGGCTCGGCCAGGCAGGGCCTTCCCCTAGCTATTGCCGCTGCTGCCTCCCAGCCAAGCTCCAGGTCTGGACTCCACATGGACTGTCCAGGGCCTGTGGGCAAGACTGGGGGCTGAGTCAGGGAGAGCCGTGGTCAGGCCTTGGCATCCCCCACCCCACCCCACCCCTCAGAAGTCCAGGGCTGTGAGGCCCTTGCCCACGGCAGGCAGGCGCCCCAGGGCTGTGAGGAGCTTGCCCACGGCAGGCGGGCACCCCAGGGCTGGAAGGGAAGACAGAAACAGCCAACCGCAGACTCCCGGGGAACGGTGAGCGACCCTGCCAAGGCAGCCACTGGCACCCAGGAAACATGGGCTAGGGACTACCACTCTGTCCATGTACCCCTAGGGGTGGGGGCGGGGCAGGGCTCCAGGGCAATTGGTGCTACCCACCCACAGCCCCCTCCTCGTTAGCAGGAAGCAGGGAAAGGCTATGCCCAAGACAAGCCTAAGGGCCTCAGGGTCCCCGTGCCCTGCAGCCGGGTGACCCCCCCACCCCCCCGCTGCTGCCCCCATGGAACACCTAGGGGCTGGCTGGGGATGGAGGGAACACACCAGCAGAGCTCTGAGGGGTGCAGACGGGTCTAGGCTGGGACCCCACTTTGCACAAGGGGGCACTCCCCCCACCCCGGTTCGGAGGTTCCAGCCCAGGGTGTTTGAACAACAGCCCCTGCCCCGCCCATCACCTGTTGGCCTTGAGGACACAATGCGAGCACCTGTGACTGCCAGCAGTGCTGGAACCCAGGTGGTCATCTCTCTAAGGCGTCCACCAGCAGCACTCAGGGGCTTAGGGCAGCACCAGGTGCCAGGAACAGGATGCCCTGCGTGCCCACTGCCAACTGCAATCACCTCTCCTTGTGCCAGCTGGTAGGGGCCACCAGGTGCTGACCCCCACGGCAGGGAGCCACACCCCAGGGCCTTTCCCTCCTCCTCAGGCCACACAGCCCAGCAGCAGCTTCCTCCTCAGGGTCTGGCAGGCACAGTCCAGCGGCCCAGGGCTGTGCAACCCCAATACCCACTACACACCGAGGCCCATCTGGAACCCCCGCCTGCCGGGTCTGGGGGTGAGGGTGTGGCCCAGCTGTGCGCCACAGTTCCCGGCCTCCCTGGGACTTTTCTGCCTGCCCATCTGGAGTGCACATCTGGCCTTGCCCAGCCTGTCCCATTTCCCACCAACTCCCACCCCATCCCCCGAAGGCAGACAGCCCGCAGGGACTCCCGGATGGGCCCGTGGTCAACCAGCAACTCACCTTCGTGGGGGTGGGAGAACCAGATCTGGGAGGGCGTGGGGTGGGGGCCACGGTAGGCTTGCTCCGGGGGGGACGAGGTGGGGCCGCTGGCGTGCGTGGAGGCCGTGGCGCCCAAGCTGCCGGTGAGGAAGCCGCCCATGAACGAGGACGCCGACGAGCTTCCCATCAGACGGCTGCCAGCTGTGGACATGGGGGGCAGAGTGAGTGGGCAGCCACGGCCCCCCAGCCTGAACCCCTCACACCCCTGGCATGAGCCCCTCGCACCTCCGTGCTGCTCAACCAAGGGCAGCAGCGTGAAAGGCACCACCAGCAACCACCATCGCATCACTGACCACACCGCTGACCAGGCAGGCCGCTGCCAGCGGCCGGCGTGCCATCTCTGCTAGCCATGGTCACCAGTGCATCACTCAGCCACCACCAACCATGACCATCGACTCGCCAAACACTCAGGGCCGCGTGGGCCTCCTCCTCGTAGACAGAGCACCTGACTCCCAGGCCGTGGGGGCGGCCATGCATGGCCCTCAGGTACACATCCCACCCCCGTGGCCTGGGGATACCGCTGGGACCCAGCTCAGCAGGGAAGGGCTGGACCCTCTCCAAGCTGGGACCCTCATGTGCAACTGAGCTAGGGGAGAGACCAAAAAGTGGGGATGGCCACTCAAGCCAAGTGGACCTGCTGCCTGCGTGTCGCCAGAGCTGGCCAGTGACCAGAGTGACCCGAGCTACAGCTGCTCATCCCTCCGTGGGCCCAGCCGGGGCTCTCGTCACCCCTCTCCTTGGTGGCACAGGAGCCTGCCCACTGGCCCGCCGTATGCCCGAAGCCAGCAGCCAAGGCCAGGCCGAGAGCCTCGCAGGGTTGCCATGGTGACCAGCTGTGCACCGTGGGTGGTCTGGGCTGCACCACCAGGGCACCCCTCTCGAAAGCCCAGGACGCTTGCAGGGCAGAGCGGCTGAGAGCCCAGCCCGAGGTGAGTCAGGGCAGCTGTTCCCGCCAGGGAGTCCAGCATTCGGGATTCAGGGGAGAGGCCTCATTCATCCCGGCCCTGGGAGCTTCCCAGACAGGGGGTGACTCAGCAGGGAGGTGGCAAGGCCAGGGAAGCCAGGCAGGGAGGGGCTACCCCAGGGGACTGGCAGCAGCCACTGCGCTGTGCCAGCTCCCAGCCCACCACCGGCTGCGCTGTCCAGCCCGGCCTGTGGGAATGCAGGCCCAAGCGGGGGGCCCTCTCCCGGCCATGGCCAGAGGAAGGGGCCAGAGCGCTGGCCAGGGCCGCCAGTGGGAAGAGGAAGCAGTGGTCCGCTGGTCGGCCGGCGGGCCGGGTGTGGCGCTGGCCCAGCACTCGGGGAAGGCACCCAGGAGCCAGGGACTTTCCAGTTGACAGGCGTCCAGCCAGTGGAGAAGAGCCTGGCCTGGGACGGGAGGGTCGGGAACCCCTGGGGGTCATGCCTGGGGGATGAGCTGGACACAGAGTGAGCCCCACCCGGGCCCGCCCTGTCCCTGGGGCTGCCGCCCACGCCCCTCCCAGGGAAGTCCCGCCTGCCGCCACTCCTCCCGGGGACGCTGGGAAGCAGCCGAGTCCAGGAGAAGGTCTGCAGAAGAGATTTCCCCAACGACCGACCGGCCTGAGAACCCTGCACCTTCTGTGCTCCCACGGGCAGGGCCAAAGGGAGACCGAGGCACAGGGTGGGGGCAGGCCTGAGGCCCAGAGGCACCCCCACGCCAGAGTCCTCACCGTGGGGGTATAAGGTCACAGCTGGCCCTCCGGCCCTCGCCCACAGCACCTGGTGCTTCAGACTCCCCTGCCTGCCTGGATCCACGCCCACTCCTACTGACCTGCGGGACCCTCTGGGGGTATCACTGAGGACCCCTGCTTTGGGGGCTGCCCTACGTTCTGCCTCTCCTGCTGGGAACCGACGAGCAAAGCCACAGGAAGCCCAGGCCACCCCCATGCAGGCAACATGGTGCTATCCTGGGCACAGGCCACACGCCCTCTGCAGCATCCATACACCACACACAGCCATCTCATGCCAAGACCCCGCGAGGCTCCCAAAGCCGCTTGGTTGGCACCTCGGGGGCTGCCAGCTTAGTTCAAGCCCTCAGAGCCCCGGATCCACAGGCCCTGCCAAGGGGGTAGCAGTTCAGTGGGCAGCAGGGGAGGGGTCCACTGGCCCAGGAATCCCCCAGAATGAGCTCACCTGTACCTGCGAGGTTGGGGTGCAGCCCCTGCCCCCAGCCCCAGATGAGACAGTGCAGAGACGGCGTGCACCAGCCAAGCGCAGCCTGGGCCCTGGCCAGGGCAGAGCCACGTGGGTCAAGTCCAGCTGGGAACTGGGCCGAAGGCTCTATCCTCTTGGCAGTGGGCTTGCCCGCTGGGTGCTGTGGTAACCAGAGCCTGGGAACCCCAGGCACGCCCCAGCGCATTCCCCCAACCGGGCGCCGTCAAGACCCCAGGCTGGCAGAACAAAGAGGGCATGAAGCAAGAGGCTGGGTGGGAGCCCCGCCAGTGTGTGCCCTTCCTCCAGAGCTTGCCACCCCACGATAGGTACCTGATGCTGGGACTGGGGGCAGCTCACTGCTGCCCTGGGACAGGCTGTTCTGTGCTGAGTACCAACCCCCAGGGCCTGTAGGCTCTGGAGACAGGCGCTCCAAGGCCACTCAGCTCTGCCCAGGACATCGTGGGGCCCTGGACCAGGTGCTGGTCTGGCTGAGAAAACCTGCGTGGAAGCCGGCATGCCAGGAGGACCATGGCAACCACCCCCCACCAGGGCAACCGGCTCGGCTCAGCAAGTGCAGCCCCCACCCCGGGGGGAGGCCAGGGCCCCAGCGCTCGCCCATAGGTGGTCCGCAGGTGTGGGGCAGCCCAGTGCCACCTGAGGAAGCTCTAGTCCAGGGACTGGGCACAAGGAACTGAGGCTCCTCCCTTGCTCCTGGCCACCTGTTTCCAGGAGACCCTCCCTGGGAGGCCTGGTGTCCGGGAGGGGCCGTGCAGGTACCCCGCTCCACGTGGGGACGCCAGCGCTGGCTCCCACAGCAACAGGCATTTGTTTTGAGTTAAGTGAGCCACGGAGACCTCCCCCTCTGGAAGCTGTGAAATGGGTTGTAAAAAAAAAAAAAAGCCTTGTAGAGAAGTCGGCCGCGGCTCCCGGGAAGCGAGTCCCTTCCCAGGCTGCTCCTGTTGCTTCCGGAAGCCCAGCTGACGGCTGCTGGCACCAGCTCCCTGGCTGCGCGGCTGGTGCGGCTTTCGCCACCCGCGCCAGCTCCCAGCCTCCCTCCCTCTTCCCTCAGCACCAGCTCTGGCTGCAGCCTCCCCAGAAGACGGACACGGGGGCGGCTGGGACCGGACAGCTGGACGCCCAGGCTCGGCAGGGCTGGGGGTGCCCAGAGGGAGCTGAGCAGCAGAGGCGGCGGCAGGAAGTGTCCCAGCCCACCAGGCCCTGCCCACATTCCTCTCATTCCCACGAAGGGGAGGGAGGACACCGCCAGGCCCGCCACTGTGGCTTCCAGCAAGATGCTGACCCGGGGTTGGCCCTGCAAGGAGGGGGCGGGGCTTGGGAGCTGCTGGGGAGGCCCAGACCCCCGGTTCCCCTCCTCACTGGCCCGCCCCTGGCCTTTGTGCCCACTCGGCCCTCGAGAATCCAGGGTGGGGGGTGGCTGGCGGCCTTGCTGGGACCCCACCAACCCCCTCTGTTCCCACAGGCCCGTGGCCCCCATCGGCCCTGCCTGTCCAGCTCTGCCCTCGAGGCCCTTGCTGGACACGGGCAGGCGGCTGCCACTGTGGCCCTGGGGGTGTCTGAGGTGCCTGAGCCCAGCCCTGTCCAGAGCCAGGGCAGGCAGCTGGACAAGCAGAGGGGGTGGGGGGCAGAACAGGAACTGCAGCACGGCAGGAGGGGAGGCCAAGAATGTGGAGCCACAGGGCCTGGCCCAGGGACAAGGGCAGTCTGGGAAGCCCTGCGGCTGGCCCGGGAGAACCTTCCAGAAGACCCCAACATTCCACAGGAAGCACCACTCCAGCCATAAGAAAATTGTGGCCAAATGTGACCAACCAGTGTGGAAACGCTGGCGGCAGTGAGGACAGGACACAGGCAAGCCACCAGCATCCCAGGACTGAGACAAGGCCTGGTTCCCTCGGGTGGGGGCAGCACGTGGGGCCGCTGTAGTCACACACACAGCACACACGCAGGCTGTGGGCGCGTGGGAAGGTGAGGAGCACAGCCAGCACCTCCAGCACCAGGCTGCAGTGCCAGCTTGGTCCAGACATGGGAGGATGGGCACACACTGTGAGCACACACACTTCTCTGGGAAGCGGTGGAGCGGGGCAGCACCCAGGCGGAGGAGCTGGGGGGCAGTGCCTTCACTCTGCCAGCCTTCCCCACCCCACCCAGCACAAGAGGGGGCTTCCTAGGGCCTGGGGAGGGTGGCGGCCACCGGGCTGAGGAAGCAGAGGCAGGTGTGGGTCGGCTGGCTGTGGACCCACCAACCCACGTGTCCAGGCCTGCAGCCCAGGACGGCTCCCTCCACAAATGGCCACAGCCAGTCCCCCAGGGAATGAAGGCCACTTCCGGCCTGGACCGCTGCTGGCCACCGGGCCGCCCCCGCACTATGTCTGGGAACAGGGCTGGTGGGGGTGCGCTGTGACCTGAGGACCAGCAACCACACTGGATCAGGCTCACACTGTCAGGCAGTCGAGAAGGCTGTGTGGCCATGGCAAGGCCAGCCGCAGCAGCCCCTACCACGGGGCTCCTGCTGTGGACACTGCCAGATGGGGGCGGCTCCAGCTACACTGGCCTGGGCTGGGGCAGGCCTGGCTCACTCCCAGCCTCCGTGGACAAGTCCCTTCTCCTGGCTAGCTCCCCGACCCAGAATTCCTCTCCATCCAGTGGCCCTATACTGCATGACTGACAAGGTGTCAGAACTCCCAAGGACATGCATGGGGGCTAGGGGGGAAGGCAGACAATGGGGCAGCCAGAAGCAAGGAGCCGTCCTGCCTCACTCCCCGACCCTGGTCAGCACTGCCCACTGCCAGCCTGCTTGGCTCAGGGCCAGCCTGTCACCACAGGTGTTTCCCACCTAGGGGTGGGGGGGACAGGGCCCAGCAAGAGTGAACCTGGGAATGAGGTAGGTGGGCCGGCCGCTGCAGTGCAGAGCCACCTGTTCCCGCTGGTCTCCAAAGACGGCTCTGGAG